AGCAATAGCGAAATTCAGACCTGAAAAAAATCAGGCCTGTACGGGACTCGAACCACTGACCTCTGCGATACTAGTGCAGCGCTCTAACCAATTGAGCTAACAAGCCAACTGAGAGCAGGCCGTTAAGTTGATTCGTAATGAACCCGTGAAAGTGATAAATGAGATAGAATAAATATATGAAAATCATATATTTTGAACTGCGGTATTTGATACGTATGATGGACGATCCTCGCAGTAGATAGCGCTATTTGAGCAATAGCGAAATTCAGACCTGAAAAAAATCAAATACCGCAGTTCAAAATATATGATTTTCATATATTTATTCTATCTCATTTATCACTTTCACGGGTTCATTACGAATCAACTTAACGGCCTGCTCTCAGTTGGCTTGTTAGCTCAATTGGTTAGAGCGCTGCACTAGTATCGCAGAGGTCAGTGGTTCGAGTCCCGTACAGGCCTGATTTTTTTCAGGTCTGAATTTCGCTATTGCTTAAATAGCGCTATCTACTGCGAGGATCGTGCATCATACGTAGAGTATAAAGTGTGGGGGATTGTAAAAATTGACTAAAAATTAACTGACTGCTTGACAATGAGGGGAAAACAAGAATGTTATGTAGAATTATGGAGGGGGGGGGAGGGAACGGGTAAATTTTTTCGTGAAAAAAACAAAAAACATCCAAGCCACCCCCCACCCCTATACGATAGATCATGACTGCTCCTTAAAGAGGGGCACATTGCGTGCTCATTTTATGATTTAAAAGGGATTTAAAATCCACAAAGATGAGATCGAAAATCCTGCCTTTTTTTATTCGTGAAGGAGGTTTTCTCCTCAAATGACAGTAACAGTGACTCTGCCAGTAACGTATAAATTGAAAATATATCTAAGGAATAATTAATGAATCATACTCAATTAATGAATTTCCATCCCCGATGACAACGCTTAATACAAAGGAGTACCTCAGTGTCTGCAATGAACAAGCAGAGGGTTCTTTTTGACAACAGAGGTGTCTTCACATAAAACATAGACGAGTAGAACTTTCTTCCCTTAGCAAATATACACATACAGAAAGCCTCACCGCTGTTATCCGTCAAAGTGTATAAAATATATATCCGTGGTTCGACGTTAGAAGGTAACGGGTCCGAGTTTGGAAATCACAAGATCGTGTAAAGGTCGGCACACACGAGGGGACTAGCCCTGCGACTATTCCGTGCGACTAGTCCCGGCGACAAGTCTTTGAAGGGTTTACACGAGGGGACCGGTAGCAGGGACTAGTCCCCTCGTGTGTGCCGACCTTAAAGCTAGCATTGAGGAAAACGGCTGAAAAATGGCGCATAGAGGGATCTCCGCATGATCAAGCAGAACTCCACGTTAAAAATTTGCATTAGAGAGCCTTTCTATTTTGATCAATGAAGTGCAAAAATATACTAGATCATGACGCTAGAAGGTAACACACCCCTGGTTTTGCGTCATAAAACGTACAAAACGAACACAAAGCGAAACAGCTAAATCTTCTTTGAAACTCGCAATGTCCTGTATAAAATTTGTAAGCTTACTGATTTGCGCACTCGGATAAAATACTGGTAAAAACAACATACTTTGCAAGTCATGCAACAACTGTTACGAGTTAAGCTGCACTAGGCATAATGCCAATAAAAACCAATTACGGATGGCATTTATTTGTAGACCTAAGTTCTATTTGGCAAAAAATAACAAGTTTGAAATAATCTTTATACTGGGCCATTTATCCCGCAAATCAGAAGCGTAAACCACGTTATTTAAGCTGGATAAAAGGGTTGGTCTGAAGTAGACTGTTTCATCTAATTACTTCCTGAACATTGTCTTTGTTGATGGCACTCAAAAATGATGTTTTTTCTTTTTTTTTTTCTTTTTAAACTCAATTATTGTCTACCGTTATCGTACCATCATTAACTGCCTCCTTACAGCATCGGACAAAGACACGTTTTTATCACACAAAATCACTTAAGCGTCCATGATGACACAAACATCACTGTTTTATAGAAAATTCGTATAGTGTTTGTGAATACTAATGTCATGTTACTTTTGAAAACAGTCAGATTTCCTGATATAAATTGTTTATCGATTTCGATAGCTATGTTGATCATACCAAATAGTGCCTCTGAGTTATAACTTAGTATTCCATTTAGATAGCGATGAAGGGATTCATTTTCACGCGACGGTTGGCTAGCTCCGAAGGTTGAAGTCCTTTATAGTACTATTTTTGCTTTAATAAGCTTGCCTAGTCATTTCTGAATGATCTCTAAGTAATGTCAGAAAGAAACAAGCTTAAGTGGTTGTTAGCATCATCTGTACAAAAGACAGACATGTAGGTTAGCCGCTTAGTCATGTTAGCTGAGTTAAGATTTTCTGCCCAAAAAAAACCCTTGTTCATGAACAGTATTTTGAGTTTCAATTCTGCAGAGCTATGTTAATATGAAGTTCATGCCGATCATGCCAAATCGTTGTCTTCTTGTCACCATGGGGCAGTGGAGGGTAAAAGTATGTGACCTCATTTTCATTACACACGATCGATAGGAATTGCTTAATAGTGTAAAATTGTCATAGAGCAAAACTGCTATATTTTGAGAGAAAATACTATTGAGCAGAAAAGTCCGCTTCGGAGGAAAGATCGGCAAGCATAATTTTCTTTCTACTAACAATTAGCAAGCATCACTTTTGTCCTGTAAATAATTGTAGAAAGCATTTCTACTTTGTTCAATTAAGTATAAAATGTCTAAAAATATAACTATGGTTTGACGCTAAAAAGCAACACGTCAACAACACCACAAAAACGGCTAAATCTTGAAAGAAACCCGCTTCAATAAGCTTGCCGCAATTTCGGAATGACCCCTAGGTAATGTCAAAGAGAAACAAGTGCTTGTTAGCGTCATCAGCTCAAAAGAGGGTTACCTCGGTTGGCACCTCACTTTTTCAAAAAGTCCTTTAATCATGAACAACATTTTGGGCTTAATTCTGCTGAGGTACGTCAATCGTATACTCAGGGAAATTGAATCTGATCACTGTTTAGTGGAGAGTGACTGTACGTGATCTTACATAAATTTCGCTTAAAAACACTTAATAAAACTTTTGTCTTTATCTGGCCTCAAGCGCTCTCCCACGATGAATTTCCATATATAAACTCTTGTTTATGCAATCAAAATCGTTTAAAAAAGCTGTTCCGTTTGTTTCTCGCCCACAAGTTGCTCAGTTTTGTTCGAGCTACCTAGCAGAATTCGAGCAGTTCTATAATCTTCTGACAAGTTGTACAAAGTAAGTTTTCTCCTTATTCTGTACCTCAAATTCTCTTTTTGTTCCAAAAACAAAGACGGAGCTGACTTTTCGATGGCAGCTAGTTTCTTAAAAAGATTGTTGTTTTGTTCAGAGTGGTGTACTTTTCTCTTGCGAAACTTTATCCAAGGCCTATGCCATACCTAATTTATCAGTTAGACTCTCTAACTGGTTCTTTAAGAGGATAGGCTTTAGTTTGTTAGTATATTTGTTCGCCTGGCCTATCCTTGAGTGAAAAGAAACATATTCTCAGGCTTTGGGCGTAGAGCTGAAGAGGAGAGAGGGGTTCGTTTTTTGACATCATTCGTGCCTCGATCATTTCCCGCGGTAGCTACAGCTACCAGAATCTCCAATCCAGACACGTGCACAAAGCTGGTCCGCGCAAAATCGTGCCTTAATCTTTCTGGCCGAATCCAATCGAATCTCACAGTTATGTAGTTTTTTCTCGTAGCTGATATTTTGTGTCAATGATAGTATATCTCATCCAATCCCTTATACTGAATCTTCTTATTTTCTCTCAAGCATCCAAGACGGCCAAACGGAGACATCAATGAAGATCTCTGCAGTTTTCGTGTTTGCTTTTGTGGCCCTGTGTGCTTTTGAATGCTGTGTTTCAGGTACGAATTTGATGATTTTTGAGGAAATCGCATGGATTTCAATGAGAATTTAAGAGGGATCAGTCATCGCTAACAGATTATAAAAGGGGGGGGACTACAGAAAATGACTTTGAATAAATGAGGATCATCAGAATATTACAGAGCCCTAAAAACATAGAAAAAAACGCGCGCACAGAAGAAGAATACTGCCTTTTGTAATACAATCTCATCTTGCCAAACCTCAAGAACATACGGTTGGGGAAATGACATCTTATATTTATTACATCGCGAAGGGAAATCATCAAGAGATATCTTGATGAGAGCTGAACTTTAAGAGCAGCGAATGGCAGGAGTCGCACAAGCCCATCAACACCCACTTTGCTTTCCGGCTTACCAGTCTGTCAACTTACGCAAGTAAAGTTATTCATTGATCAAGTGATTCCTTTCATTGCTCTAATTCAATTGTGCTTTATTCGGTGATCAAGATAGTAGATTCAGCATACAATACTCGCTATTAGTTAATTTGCCTTTACTTACAAAAGTAGATTAACAACACGACTGAGTACATGTCCTCACAGTAGTAGCCTGCGTGGCCAGGCTCTTTTAGGGGGGGAGGGGTTGGGGAAGGAGAAAGAGGAGGGAGGGGGGAGTGCACTGGCCCTATTGTTTTCGTTTATTTGTCGCTTAGTTTCGGTGGGAGAAATTCCTATTGGTCGGAAAAAGATTGGGTGATTCCTATTGGTCGATTACCTGTCAATCAATATCTCATCTGAGTCACAATTCTTGTTCAAAATAGCGGACAAGAGTGAGCTTTTCGATGTAAAAATACAAGAAGTGGAGCAACGATTTAGGAACTTTAAAGGCGAGAATTTTGATTTGAAGGCAGAGCAAATCACTTCAAGTTAACATTTATTCTTGAGGAAAGATTTAATAGCGATTTTGCCACTAGATCTGACAAGATTTCCTTTAAACTTCGAAATAGTTTCTCGTGGAGATCAGGATAGATTAATATTGAGTTGATAACATGTTCCCATTTCGAAATACAGATATTTGAAAATATTGATTTTTCTACATCAGTAAATTACTTCTAACAGTTACATTTCCCGAAGGATACTCAGTCACAACCTTGGTCGTAGATCCGTGCGACATGTCCAGCTCGTCTATGTTTAACTTCGAAAGAGCCACATTTTCATTTCCGTACTTTCTTCGTGCCTCTTCGAATGAATCTTTTTCTGTCGGTAAATCGTTCTCTTTGCCTTTTGAGAAAAGTTCCTTTCTTGACTTAGATTTTCCTGGTGATAGTTCTCTGCGTGTCTTGCGATTTCCAGGAATTGATCTTGATGGTGTCACTACATGATCGACTTTTCTCTTCGCCTTGTATAACTCAGACGACTCCTTTCGACTTAAAGACTGGTGAACACTGGTATGATTCATAAAGACCTCGCAATTGTCTTCCGCAAGTCCCACAGACTACTTGTGAACAGTTTTCTTCGTTTTCGACAATAACTCCAATGCTTTTGAGAGATTCTGACAGCGGTTTCTTGGACGGATCGTTCGGTGCTCTAAAAATATTACTGAAGAATGTATAGCTTACACGATAACAATACAAAATTCGAAGGCGCTTTTTACAAAGTGTACAAAATTCGTTTGATCGGTTTGAAGACGGTTTTTTGCCTTTCTTTGCTCCAGTAAAAGAGCTACCTGTGTCCGCCATGACAGGCTCTCCCTTCCCTCCTCTTTCCCTTTCCTCCACCCCTCGCCCCCCTAAAAGAGCCTGGCTATGCAGGCTATCACAGTAGTAACGCTATGTAACGCAATACACTAAACACAACAATTGTGGCGCAGTGTACTCTGGACAGTGCATTCTGGTAAAAAGTGACGTATTCGAGAATTCGCATCCCCTATATACTTTTCCAATCCTGATTAGAATGCTGCTCGCTGGCTACGCTCGCTGTGCAGCAATAACTATAAGAGATAGGCGGCCATTGGTGGGGAAATGGAGGATTTTAGGGAGGATCACATGGTTTTCAGGGGGGGGGAGGGAAAGAAGAGGACTCAGTCGTCACTAACAGGGTATAAAGTGACTAAAGAAAATTATCTGTCATCGACGGGCGGGGATCATAAGGATATTATAAAGCCTTATGATGGATCAGGTAAATTTTATCATGACACATTTAAAAACTTAAATACCCGCCCACCCCTCCCTTCTCCCCATCCGATAAATAGAGAACGATCCTTAATAAACGGGCAAACTTATCTTTGATTTCGTTTCTTTTTACTCTGTAGATGAATGGGAAAAGCAGAATACCTCACCAGTGTGTTTTGGGGCAAAGGACGGACAATTTGGCAAGTTCTTTCTTCGAGATTCTGGAGGAAGGCTGGCCGCTGTGATGTTGGAACACCTGTACGGGTACGTGACCTGTGACGCACGACATGTCTCCTATTGGTCTTACTGGGGCTGTGGCTTGTACGGCTGGGGACTGGGCAAGATAAATGTCGTAATAACAACCTCGGGCAATCACGTTCTTTTGCCACCAAGCCAGTTCATTGAACATCATGGAGGTAAATGGTCCAGGGTTCCCGGATATGACTCCCTTTCCCCAAACCTAGTGCTGTCCTTTTTCAGCCCCGCCCACGTTAGCCACAACCAAGAGCTACGGATATGGTATGGCGAAGATCTGATGAATAGTGCCGAGGGAGACAATGGAGGCACCGCTTGCGTTGATGTCTATGCAATTTACGTCTGAGCTTTCACTGAGGAGCAAGCAGCCATGACAGAAAATCTCATCGCTTTGTAGCTAATGAAATCATAAAGTGGGAACATAAGCTTATTTTCAATATCAATGTTATCATTTTCCTGTTTTTGAGACCATCGTTATTTGTTATGGAGGGGGGGGGGGTAGGGGAGCGTAGGAGGATTTGATTGCGGTCGGAATCACATGGTTTCAAGGGGAACGAAGAGAGGTTCAGCCACCAGTAACAGAGAAATGAAGAGGGGATTATATAAAATTGGGCGTTTCCTTTATCCTATTCATCCATTGTCCCATACCTTCCCTCCTTTAGGAGTCTGGCTTCGCAGGCTGCAGTTTTCTGATAGGGTCAATTATTCTTATTGAATTGGTAGAATGTAGAAATAGTCCGAACCCTCCCCCTCC